TTCTCACATCACATCCCTGGGTGACCAGATATAAACTGCAAGACCTACCTCCCTCTCTCACTCTCATCCAGTGTGACCCAGAAATACATCTGCAACCTACCACACTCTCTCAATCTCATCCCTGGGTGCCCAGCATATACACTGCAACCTACCCTACGACACTCACTCTCCATGCCTGTGACCCGATATACAATGCAACCTACCTCCGTCTCTCACCATCATGCCTGGTGAACCAGATATACACTTCACTGCAACCTACCTACCTCTCTCACTCTCATTCCAGGTGACCCAGATAACACTGCAACCTACCTACCTCCCACTACCATGCCGGTGAACCAGATATACACTGCCAACCTACCTCTCTCTCACTCTCATGCCTGGGGAACCAGATAAAACAATGGCAACCTAACCTCCCTCTCTCACTCTCATTCCCCTGTGACCCAAATATACAACTGCTCACCTGCCTCTCATCTCTCACTCTCATACCAGGTGAACCAGAAAACAGCTTCCAACACCCTTAACCCCACTCTCTCACACATCATACCTGTTACCCAATATAACACAGCAACCTACCTACCTCACTCACACTCAATCCTAGGATGAACCAGAAATACACTGCATCAACCTTACTCCCTCTCACACACTCAACCCTGGAGACCCAGATATACACTCAACCTAACCTACCTGTCCACTCTCATACCTGGTGACCCAGATATACACACAAACCTACCTACCACTCTCACACTCATTCCTGTGACGGACCATGAAATACACTGCAACCTACCACCTCTCCACTCTCATTCCCTGGTGACCCCGATATACACTGCAACCTACCTACCTGTCTCACACTCTCATGTCCTGGTGAACCAGATATACACTGCAACCTACCTCCCTCTCTCACTCTCATGCCTGGTGAACCAGATATACACTGCAACCTACCTACCTCTCTCACTCTCATTCCTGGTGACCCAGATATACGCTGCAACCTACCTCTCTCTCTCACTCTCATCCCTGGTGACCCAGATATACACTGCAACCTACCTACCTCTCTCACTCATCCCTGGTGACCCAGATATACACTGCAACCTACCTACCTCTCTCACTCTCATCCCTGGTGACCCAGATATACACTGCAACCTACCTCCCTCTCTCACTCTCATCCCTGGTGACCCAGATATACACTGCAACCTACATCCTTCTCTCATTCTCATCCCTGGTGACCCAGGTATACACTGCAACCTAACCACCCTCTCTCACTCACTCCCTGTGACCCAGATATTACACCTGCAAAACCTACCCTCCCTCTCTCACTCTCATCCCCTGTGACCAGGTATATACTGGGCCATGCTCACTAACTTTCCCAGGTGACCCATATAACACTGCCTCTCCACTATCATCCCTAGGTGACCCAGATATTACACTGCCACCCCTAACCTCTCTCTGTCATCTCTGGTGATGATTTTATTCTGTCTGTTTGAAATAATAAGAAAATCCCTTATTTTTCATTATCAGTTTTTTTGTGCTTTCGAGTATGTTTCAAAAATTCTTAAATTTTCACCATATTAGGATAAATAGGGATTTATTAGGATATATAATTGGAATGAGGTTCCCACCAACTTGAATCCCGAGGCAACCATCCAAGCATAGGCGCAGTTCCTGAAAAACGAAGGCAACTGCTAACCACTCAGTATAATCAAGGCAGTGCGCAACTACCCCAAGGGAACGGATAACTGTGTCCCTCTGGGCCCCATCATCGAGAATCAAGAGGCAGACCAAGAAAAGTCCTACTGAGAACGAGAAAATGCGCCACATAAGGCAAAAAAAATTGAGGAAGGTAACCCAGTGGAGCAATAAGAAATAATACAAGTGACGACACTGTAGCCCCCAAGGATGAGACCACGGCCCCAGCACTAAGGAGACAAGCCCAACCAGGACACCACAGCCTCAATGACAACCCTGAGGAAGACCAATCAACGAACAATTAATATTTGCCAAATACGAAGTCTATAAGGCGATCGTGTCATTCCAGGCAGATCTGCACAAGTTACACTGGGAATTCGACCTCAGCACCTCAAAGAGATGGTAAATCCAGTACTCGGTGAATCTGCATCAATTCTTCTCACCGAGTTAACAACTTTCGTCAACAATTGCCTGGCTGGGCGAATCCCAGAAGAAATTAAACCTTTCTTTTTTGGAGCCTCACTGTGTGCTTTGAAGAAGAGGGATGGGGGAATCAGACCCATTGCAGTTGGAAACACTCTTCGCCGTCTCGTTGCCAAAGCAGCAGTGAGAACATTCGCCTAGAAGCTGCCACTTTACTCCAGCCACACCAACTGGGCTTTGGGGTCTCTCAAGGCAGTGAAGCTGCAGCTCATGCGGCAAGGGCCTACATCAGGGACCTACCAGAAGACAAGGCCATAGTCAAACTTGATTTTAGAAATGCCTTTAATATGGTGAGGAGAGATGCTGTTTTGCCAGCTGTTCGGGTTCGGTTCCCCAGTCTCTTTCCCTTCATTTCAGCCGGCTACAGCAAACCCTCAATTCTTTTGTTTGGAGAACATGAAATTCAATCATCAGAGGGTGTTCAGCAGGGTGACCCACTTGCTCCACTTACTCTTCTGCTTGGCAGTAAGAGAACTAACTTCCAGCCTACGCAGTGAGGTCAATATATGGTACCTGGATGACGGCACTCTGGCAGGTACTGAAGAGTCCCTCGTGGGGACCTACAATGGTGAAAACACAGGGAGAAGACTTGGGACTCATCCTCAATCCCTCTAAGTGTGAAATCATCACAGCGAACCAGGAAATAATCAATGCTGTGCGAAGAATCCTCCGGAAATCTCAACTACAAACTCCGTCCAACAGTACCCTCTTGGGGGGCACCGCTGGGTCACCAGGCCATCATACTGTCCTCAGGGACAAATTGAATGACCTTATGAGAATGGAGGAGAGAATAAGTGATCTTGATGCCCATGATGCTCTGTATCTCCTCACAAGGTGTCTTACTATGCCAAGACTCACTTACTTCTTGAGGTGTGCACCCTCTTTTGACAACCCAACACTCGATGAATATGACGCACACCTGAGATCACTTTTAAGAAGGCACTGAACCTGTCACTAGAGGATGAGCAATGGATCAGGCAACCTCCAGTGCGACTGGGAGGTATAGGGTGCGTAAAGCAAAGCATATGTTGCTTTACCTGCTTTTCTGTCTTCGTGTTTGGCTTCCAGTGCATTAGTCAAGAAATAGTGCCCAACGCTTGAGAGACTTGGTAGGAGCTCAAGACCCCAGATTTACTGAAGCAGCAAATCGGTGGGACACCCTTACAGACTCCTCCAGTAGACCAGCTCCTCCCAACAGCACAAACAGTCCCACTGGGACACAACCAATCATGGAAAAAATCGCCAACACAATGCTCTCCAATGCTTCAGGAAAGAACAAAGCTCGTCTCCTGGCAGTGAAGGCCACCACACTCAGGAGATTTCCTGTTAGCTGTTCCCAATTCCTCCCTGGGCACCCGTCTCGACCCACAGGCCATTCGGATTGGTGTTGCTCTTCGCCTAGCCGCCCCCATCCTCACCGAACATAGATGTATTTGCGGCAGGGCGACAGCTGATCAATTCGGACTCCATGGTCTCGTGTGCCACACAGCAGAAGGGAAGTATGCCAGACATGAGGAGGTCAATGACATAATAAAGAGAAGCCTCGCCACAGCCGTTGCCCAGCTCAACGGGAACCCCAGTACAGAGGTCTGATGGAAGTCAAAAGCGTCCTGATGGAGCCACATATGCTACCCTGGAAAGATGGAAAGCAGATTGCCTGGGACTACACCTGTGCTGCCACATTGGCAGACACCTACTTGCCATACTCTGTAGTGGAAGGGGTGGAGCTGCCAGCCACAGGGAGGACCCAGAAGATCCGCAAATATGAAGACCTTTCCCCTTGCTATAACTTCATTGCAATAGGGTCGGAGACCTTGGAGCATGGGGCAGTGTGCTCTAAAGTTCCTCAAAGAGCTAGGTGAAAAGCTCATCATAGAAACCAAGGACACAGGGCGACCAGCTTCCTCTTTCAGAGACTCAGTGTTGCGATCCAGAGAGGAAATGCCTGCAGCAATTCTGGGCACGCGGCCCACCGCAGGGGAGCTGGACGAAGTATTCGAGATGTAGCTCTGCGTTACCTATGTTGTTTTACTTTTGTATTCATATTTTGTGAATGTTTGTCAATGTATTTTGTCTTTAAATAAAATATATATTTATATATAATATATATATATATATATATATATATATATATATATATATATATATATATATATTATATAATATATATATATATATATATATATATTAGCACACTGTTCGATTCCCACCAAGGCAGGGTGGCCCGAAAAAGAAAAACTTTCACCATCATTCACTCCATCACTGTTTTGCCAGAAGGGTGCTTTACACTACAGTGCTTAAATTGCAACATTAACACCCTCCTTCATATATTTATATATATAATATTATATATATATATATATATATATATATATATATATATATATATATTATATATATATTATTTATATATATTATTATATATATATATATATATATATGGTTAGGAAACATTAATTTAGAAGCCAGTACCCAAAGAAATATCTTTTTCTGACTTATCTGATATCATTTTGGGAGACGTAAATATGTATAATGGAAGCAGACATATTATATGTCGTGTGTAAGTCGATCAGGATATGGAGTGTTGGACGCTCGTTCCTTCGTCTGGTACTCGCGCTAAAATCAGGCAGTGGGCATATTACAACTTGTGCTCTGGTCAGTATATACATTACTGGGTGTATGTCTCTCAGTGTTCATACACAGAGAGGTTAATTGAATCCCTTTTTAAGGGTTTAAAGTATTCATGACTGGTGATGAACAGGTTTCATGCAGCCTTAATGATTCTCGTGTAGTCGATAGACTTTAACCCCGCCCCCTCCTTGCTTTATGTGTTGCAGATCCGGCTGGTCGATGCAGAGGGCATCATCAACCCAAAGGCATTCTATAACTACTTGACGGCTTGGGTGAGCAACGATGCTCTAGCCTACAGCGCCTCGCAGGCTGACCTGCGACCTGAGCCCAGACACTGGTCTCATGACAGATACGACCGTGGCCTGAAGGTACGTGTACCAGTGACCTGAAAGGTACATCCAGGTTAAATGTCATGACCTCTGGGAAAAGAGATTAAAGCTCGCCCAGAGTGTGTTTTGGGTATCGGAAACACACGTACAGAAGCTTGAGAACTGAATGCGGTTCAGTTGTCTTACGAAGCTCCTCTGTACAGTGAGATTTTTTGTAAATCCGATTGAGAAAGTCCATTCAGAACTAATGAGCTGATAGTCAGGTCTTTATGGTACGTGCTGATAGTCAGGTCTTCATGATACGTGCTGATAGTTAGGTCTTTATGGTACGTGCTGATAGTCAACACTGATCACCCAGTGATTTGACTAAATACCGTCATTACACGGTCAGTGGTTATAATAATTGATGATAATAAATGTACAGGGTGTCCCTCAAGTCTGGACTCATACAGGGTGTCCCTCAAGTCTGGACTCATACAGAGTGTGCCTCAAGTCTGGACTACATGGAGTCTACCTGGAGGGCATTCCGGGGATCAACGCCCCCGCGGCCCGGTCCACGACCAGGCCTCCCGGTGGATCAGGGCCTTATCAACGAGGCTGTTACTGCTGGCCGCACGCAATCCAACGTACGAACCACAGTCCGGCTGATCCGGCACCGTCTTTAGGTATCTGTCCAGCTCCCTCTTGAAGACAACCAGGGGTCTTCCCGTAATGCCCCTTATTGGTGGTGGGAGGCTTGAAGGACACCTTGTATAGCTACCACAGATCAATATTTACTATGATTGGTTACTTGTTCCCGTGTACAGATACCCAAAAGTCAACCACTGGTGTACACCCAGCTGCCATTCTACCTGCACCAGCTGGGCGACACTGACACCATCACCAACATGATCAACCAGGTGCGCACCATCTGCCGCAGGTTCCAGGAGAAGGGGCTACCCAACTTCCCCACAGGAGTACCCTTCACATTCTGGGAGCAATATATAAAGCTCAGGTGAGTAATGCCGTAGCACTCCGCAGGGGCTAGTAGCAGCCTCGACTGACCAATGCAGGGACGGCTCCCAAAGTGGGGTACGTGCACCACCATGGGTACGTGCACCACCATGGGTACGTGAAGGGATTTTTCAGCGGGAGTGCGAGTGAATTTCGTTACAGAATGTGTTGTTATTGTTACTAGTTTTGATTTTTTTTTAATTTATTTAGTTTTATTTTTTTTAAACGTTCAATAGTCCGTGTGCTAGTTGGGTAATGTTGTTAATTATGAGCACCATAATGTTGGTTAGTTGGAGCGCCATAATGTGGCGGCTTTGCCGCTCAGAAGAGCGAGCGTTGCTCACACACTGTATGGTTCCCCACAACACATCTATGTGAGCCTCAATTCTGCTTTGTGTATCACCTAGACCAGATTTCATGCTGGGCTCTCTGAGGAGAATGACCTCAGGACGGCTCTGTTCAAAACAGCAGCCAGCGCTGACGTCCTGCCTGTCAACAGGCAAGCACATCCTTCCCGTTGAATCTTCCAGGTCTTAAGACACGTAAATATTTCAAGTCCTAATTAACTAATCGCACTTTATACCTGTATTAGCACCCCGTGTATGTTTGTCTATCTTGGCTGTGTTTGTCTATCTTGGCTGTGTTTGTATATCTTACGTATGCAAGATATTAACAATCTTTCTCTACAAGTATATTTATCGTCAAGTTGTAGGATGTACTTGCTTGCCACCAGCAAATATGATCAATAACAAAGCTTTCGTGATGCAAGTTTGTTGTTACCCAGGTTGCATTCTCCTAAAACTGAGCAGCACATTGATCTATCTGCACGTCTTGTCCCAGACATAACTTGCAAAATGTTATTTTACATATATTTTGACAGAGCGGTACGTGCTGGGTAACACCAGAGCGTCCTGCAGGACGCTGGCGGGACGAACTTAGCAGAGGTTCCTTTAGTTAAGGCTAATTTCCATTAGTTGAAGCTAATACTCATTAGTTAGGGCTAATATTCTTTTGCTGAGGGTAATTTACTTTCGTTAAGGCTAATTTACTTTTAGTTAGGGCTAGTTCACTTTTGTTACAAGTAATTTGCTTTAGTTAAGGTAATGTTGCTTAATTTGTTGTGACACACTGAACTGAAGTGTGCCTGTCAAGAGTAACTTATTTTGACATGTGTACCTGTCAAGGGTAGGTAACTATTATCTTGATGCGTGTACCTGTCAAGGGTTGCTGTCAAAAGTATTATCTGGACGTGTACCTGTCACGGGTCACTGTCAAGGGTACCTGTCAAGAGTAGCTGTCAAGGGTACCTGTCAAGGGTACCTGTCAAGGGTACCTGTATGTTAATATTACACCTGAAACATCGTTAAAAGTATTGTTTATGTTTTGCGTTTTTCGTTGCTAGATTCTACCTGGTGCTGGCGCTGCTGGCGGTGCTAACGGCGGTGTTCCTGGTGCTGTCGGTGGTGCTGATGAACGTGTGGGCGGCGGCACTGGTGGTGCTGCTGCTTGCCACACTGGTGCTTCAGCTGTTCGGAGTGCTGGGCGTGGTGGGCGTGAAGCTGTCTGCTGTGCCCGCCGTGCTGCTCATCGTCAGCGTGGGCGTGGGCGTGGAGTTCTGCGTGCACGTGACCGTGGGCTTCCTGACGGCGGTGGGCGGCAGGGATCGGCGGGTGATCCTGGCCGTGCAGCACATGGCAGCTCCCGTGCTGCATGGTGCAGCATCCACTCTCCTAGCATCCATCATGCTGCTCTTCTCGGAGTTTGAGTTTATCAGAAGGTAAGAGTACTCTCTCTCTCTCTCTCTCTCTCTCTCTCTCTCTCTCTCTCTCTCTCTCTCTCTCTGTACTCTTTATTGAAGGTGCTCAGGAAGGACTCATTGTATACTCTTATTGCTTGAAGGTAGTCTGGAAGTACTCTTGTTTATTGAAGGTTATCAGAATGTACTCGTGGAGGAATGCAGAATATACTCTTGTTTCTTGAAGATACTCAGGAAGTATTCTTTCTTGAAGGTACTCAGGAAGTATTCTTTCTTGAAGGTACTCAGGAAACACTCTCCTGTCTGGAAGGTTCTCAGATTGTACTCACTGCATATTCTCACCTCTTGAAGGTGCTCAGAAAGCATTCACTGTGTACTCTTGCTTCAGGATTCCAAATAATGATTTTCTAGCATACAATACATAAACACTATGTGCATTATACCGCGATATACTCTTGGAAGCCTTGCTTGGTATACCACTGAATTATAATAGAGTGAGGAGGTCGCTGTGTGTATGAACTGTGCAGTTCCAAGTTTTGGGAATGATATAGATCCCTACCCTCCAACTATCGTCCGGTCAGAGTGCCACTCATTGATCAGATAATCGCATATTATCAGATCAAGGAGTGGAGAGAGAGATGATACAAAGCTTCGCAGTGTTCATACATGTGACACCATACGTACCAGCAGTGCAACTCTGCAGTCACCTGCTGCTCTTGTTTAGAAGAGGAACCATTGAGACGTTTAGCACTGCTACGTTTCGCTCTCCAGGAATTTTTGTCAAGCCAGCACAAACTAGAACACAGCAGAAAAGTATATGAAGCGATCAGTGCGAAGTGAAGTTAACACTGCAATGTGTTTACTGACCCGGGCAGCTTAGTAATAGTAGTAGTAATGGTGGTAGTGGTAGTAGTAGTGGTGGTGGTGGTGGTGGTGGTGGTGATGGTAGTACTGGTGGTGGTGGTGATGTAGTGCTGGTGGTGGTGGTGATGGTAGTAGAGGTGGTGGTGGTAGTACTAGTAGTGGTGGTAGTTGTAGTAGTGGTGGTGTGGTGGTGTGTAGTAGTAGTGGTGGTGGTGGTGGTGGTGATGTAGTATGGTGGTGGTGGTGGCATGTAGTGTGGTGGTGGTGGTGGTTGATGGTAGTGGGTGGTGGTGGTTGTAGTATAGTATGTGGTGGTAGTTGTAGTAGTAGTGGTGGTGGTGGTGGTAGTAGTTGGTGGTGGTGGTAGTAGTAGTGTGGTGGTGGTGTGGTGTGTAGTTAGTAGTGTGGTGGTGGTGGTGGTTAGTAGTAGTAGTAGGTGGTGGTGGTGGTAGTAGTAGTGTGGTGGTGGAGGTGGTGGTGTAGTGTAGTGGTTGGTGGTTGTAGTAGTGGGTGGTGGTGGTGTAGTTAGTATAGTAGTGGTTGGTGGTGGGTAGTAGTAGTAGTGTGGTGGTGGTGGGTAGTATGTGTGTAGTAGTAGTGGTGGTGGTGGTGGTGGTAGTAGTAGTAGTAGTGGTGGTGGTGTAGTAGTGTAGTAATGGTGGTGGTGGTGAGTGGTGGTAGTAGTATTGTGGTGGTGGTGGGTGGTAAGTAGTAGTGGTGGGAGTAGTTAGTGGTGGTGGTAGTAGTAGTATGGTGGTGGTGGTGGTGGTAGTAGTAGTAGTGGTGGTGGTGGTGGTAGTAGTGTGGTGGTGGTAGGTGTGTAGTAGTAGTGGTGGTGGTGGTGGTGTAGTAGGTTGTAGTAGTGGTGGTGGTGGTGGTAGTGTAGTAGTGGTGGTGGTGTAGTAGTAGTGGGGGGTGGTGGTAGTATGTGTTGTGTAGTGGTGGTGAGTGGTAGTATAGTAGTGGTGGTGGTGGTGTGTGGTGGTAGTAGTGGTGGTGGTGGTTGTAGTAGTTGTAGTGGGGTGGTGGTGGTAGTAGTAGTGGTGGGTGTGGTAGTGTAGTAGTATGGTGGTAGTAGTAGTGTAGTAGTGGGTGGTAGTAGTAGTAGGTGGTGGTGTAGTAGTAGTAGTGGTGGTGGTGTAGTAGTAGTAGTGGTGGTGGTGGTAGTAGTAGTTGTAGTAGTGGTGGTGGTGGTAGTAGTAGTAGTAGATGGTGATGGTAGTAGTTGCAAGTAGTGTGTGGTGGTGGTAGTAGTAGTAGTGGTGGTGGTGGTGGTAGTAGTAGTGGTGGTGGTGGTGGTAGTTAGTAGTGGTGGTGGTAGTTGTAGTTGTTGGTGGTGGTGGTAGTAGTAGTGGTTGTAGTAGTAGTGGTGGTGGTGGTAGTAGTAGTAGTAGTGGTGGTGGTGGTAGTAGTAGTTGTAGTAGTGGTGGTGGTGGTAGTAGTAGTAGTGATGGTGATGGTAGTAGTTGCAGTAGTGGTGGTGGTGGTAGTAGTTAGTAGTGGTGGTGGTGGTGGTAGTAGTAGTGGTGGTGGTGGTGGTAGTAGTAGTGGTGGTGGTAGTTGTAGTAATGGTGGTGGTGGTGGTAGTAGTAGTAGTTGTAGTAGTGGGTGGTGGTGGTGGTAGTAGTAGTAGTGGTGGTGGTGGTAGTAGTAGTTG